CAATGATAGAACATTGAGGCGCCGCCGTTGATCTGTTAGTGACGGAACTTGGAAGCAAGGCTAATGGCGTCGGAGTCATCAAAGAGCATTTGTATCGTCGTAGGAGGACTCTCCGGTGGGGAGGTCACCCCTTTTTCTTTCGACGAAGGTCTCTGCAACTCGTTCGAGAAGCCATAACGCCAATCGCCAGAAAAAGCGAGCAGAGGAGAACCCTTCCTTCTTCTTCTGGTTGCAAGGATTCGAAATCCCTTCCGCAAGGAGAATCTAAGTTGTTGGTGAGCGATGAATTTGGGGCCGACAAGGGAGATTAGAAAGGGTAGGGGAAGAGGATAGGGGATTAAGGTATCGGCGTGTAGCAGCGGAGAAGAGAGGGTCGAGATGGGGGGAACGAAGTGGTGGTAGGTTGGATGGGGTAGGTACCCTTTATGTTTTGGGGTGGTTGAATTTGGGTTCAATCAAAATATTGAAAAAACCCAACCCAAATCAAACTAACCAACCCACGGACATAGAGGACTAAAATGAAAGAAAAACTAATTCTATGAGTTGATCTGTAATTTTATTTAATATAAATCCGAAAAAACAAATCATTTAATAAAATTTAATCTCAGCCGTCGAGATCACACGTACGGTTAAGATCATCAAGGTACGCCATACCCCGGAATTTACCCGGGGTACGATAGAACTGGCCATATATATATATATATATATATATATATATATATATATATATATATATATATAAAATGATATAACTTCGGCCTAGTTCAATTTCTCCCCTAAAAAAGAGTCCAACACGACTTTGTTCCTGCAGCCCTGCTAGTTTTGGTATACTCTTCAATTCTCCAGTTGTGCTATAAATTTGCTGGGCAATGTAAAGAAATGGATCAAACCTTAACCATATATGGGAAAACACAGGTACGTACTAATTAAAGACCACCCAAGTGTCGTGCCCGGGCCGTGCATGTGTATCTTTCTGACTGTGTTGTACGTAAAATCTGCTGTAAAGAAAGGGGCCATGGGACATAAATATTGAGTACAGCAACCGCATTACCATTGCTTTTGCTTTGTACCATCGATCTTATACTTCTACTCTTATATGAATATACTAGAAAGTGCATGTTTGTGTCATGTCACCCTCGTTGTGGATGAGTTTTACATCATTGTTTACATGCTCATTTGTTAATTTGTTGTGTTAGAACTTTAGATTATATGTAATTGAATGAATTTATGGATTGTTGAAATAAATAATAGAGCAATCACATAAGCGCTTCCGTTTTTGTTTTTGTTTTTTTATGTTATGATCTACAATTGTTCACAGATTGACTAGTAGCATGTGAGGAGAACACCCATGTAAAAACATTTTCCTCGAAAGGAGGATGTGATCCCAATAGTAAAGACTATATGTAACAACATTGTGAAGATAAACACTCTTATAGTCTTATATAGAGTCTCATCGTTGTTCTTAATAAGTAGAGAAGTTGGTTTGCAAAAGTAGAAGAGTCATTGGGTTGAAAACATAATTTTATGGTAGGAAAATAGAGACGGGCAATAAATTCTTTGGTTTCGGATCTATTGTCATTCTTAAGTGGTGAAGCACGCGAGGAGAATGCATCAAAATTACAATCTAGTCAGGAGTTTTCAAGAAAGAGGAGGATGCGCATGGGGAGAAGACTAATATTGTCCATTGTGAAGACGAACACTCTTCGTGCAGAATTCACCATGATTATTAAATAGAACAATGTTAGGAAAACACATCAGATAAGTCAGAATCATCATCATTTTTCGATCTATTATTACATTTTCAGCATGTATAATCTAACATCATCATAACCAAAGTACTAGTTAGATAAAGATTCAGAATTGAATATTTCTCAACAACATAAATTATTAGAACCAAATGTTATTGATACGGTATCAGACGGACATTATTTCACAAACCATGATTAGAATCCATTAGCTTGTAAGAATAAAATATCAAATGCAAATGCAGTTTCAACTTGTTTGTAAATCCCCAACTACGATATATTAACCGCCCTACACTAAACCCAAAAAAAAAACATAAATACATAATTGTGATTACCGCCGCATATCAACGGGCCAACGACGCCCTTAGTGAACAGTAAATGGTACCAGACGGCCATGATTTCATAAACAATGATTTGAATCCATTAGCATGTAACAATAAAAATATCAAATGCAAATGCAGTATCAGCTTGTTTTTAAATCCCAACTACGATATATTAGCCGCTCGCCGCATATCAACGGGCCAACAACGCTTTTAGTGAGCAGTAAATGATATTGAGGTTTATATATAATTATAATAATAAATTAATTAATATGTTATTGTTACGCACATCAAATACTGGATATGCTTTGATATGGTGATCCTTAGACAGTTGCATGTCATTGATCATGCAACCAGCCCATACATACACATTCACAGTTGTATCCACCCACCTAACTACATAAAGCTTATCCACTCACATGAAACATACAACATCTAATACATTGTGTCTCACTTTTATTTCTGTTCGTGCCCAGTAACTAAGCGCCGCGAACCTCCGTGTACGACCGTCCTGGCACGCCCACACCTGCACGCAGCACGGCTAAACTGAGTCCTATGGAGGACTCGTTAGCACTCCAACGCTCAAGTCAGATCCCCTTTCTAGAGAGAGAAGTGAATAGTAATTTTAGAGAGAAGTTCCAACCTGAGTAAATGAGGTTCACCAACTCTCTATTTATACCTCGGGCCTGGCCGACCGACATCCCCGACTCCCGCCTGTCGCCTGACCCGTATTAAATGCGCCGTACAACCAGGTCCCATGCGCCTCGACCACCTGACACCGCGCTCAGTCCGTCGAGGCGCATGACGTCAGGTGGTCCTCCCTCCGTACCTTCCTTCCCATTGCACCCTCTTGTCGTATGCGCCCAGTGTCAGAGCCCGGGCCCCACCTGGCCTGGTGCTCCTCTCTGACGAACGGGCCGACTCCCCCAATGCCCCTTTGGGCCTATTGGGCCATTCTCCACTATCTAGCCTAGCCTATCCAATCTTACTCTCTTGGGCCCTGCAAGCCTTACCCTCTTGGGCCGCGGCCATGCCCCCAACAATTTCCTTCTAATTAAGAAGGCCAGAGCAAACGATGTAATAAAAGAGTATAACATGCTACCTAATAAAGTTGTCCGTTTGGCAAGTCAATTCATTGGGTCGTTAAATCACAATTGTACATCTGAGCTTTAGCATGAACAAGAGGGTGTGTTAGGTTAGGCCACAATTGTCATCCTCATTAGCCTTTTGTTAGTGTAACTGACAAGAACTCTAATGACATTAAATTTTTTAAGGGAAGTGGCTAAGTTTGTCAAACATGTTTTCGAAATTTAGAAATTTTATAGATTTATTAGAAATTGGTTATTATCGTCACAAAGTTGATAGTTATGGCTATGAAAGTGAATTTAGTTAATTCCACCGTGCAATGTTTTTTTATTAAATGTCACCAAATAAGCAAAAATGCTAGTCAAGTTAGCATCTAAAATGACTTCGTTAAAGTTTTGGACGAAATTGAATTTTTTTTGTATTTCTTGGAAATTGGCTATTATTGGCATAAAGTTGATAGTTATGACTACACGTGTGTATGTTGCCTTTTATTTTAATAATTTTCTAACAAAAGCCCAGTAATTAAATGTGTGTCAATAACAATTATTAATACATCGAGTGAACTCGGATCGATTTTAATTATATGGAAAAATATGAGTTTCTAAAATAAATCGAGTGAAGGTATGTCGCTTGACACTCCTTCATTGTATAAAGGTCCGCCCTTATTTTTCAGTGCAATTTGAGTACATATTTGTTATTATCGTAATATCCATATGCATGTTTGTGCATTCCAATAGTCTATTTTCAAGCAAAGCGCGAAGTGGAAGATACTTTATAGTCCAAATCTGCTAACTATTAGGCACGAACAAATACATCTTCTATACTTTCGAAATATTACTAAAAAGTCGAGATTAGATTGCATGTGGAATCAAAGTGTGAAGATCACCCTATAACAAAGATATTTATATATCATACCTAACTCCCTATACTAAGTAGAGAGAGCAATGGAGTGCGGTGCATGTGTACAGATTTTGTTGTAACGAAGATGGAGCTATCTATAATTATAAACGAGCACAGCAACCACGTACATTAATTAGCATTGCTTTGGACCACCTAAAGCTTTTCCCTATATATAGATGTGTATGTTATTGCATCATATATATTAATTACATATGCTTTGGTAATAAATCACTCGACCATGGCATGTCATTGATCATGCACCCAGCCCCAGCCCATACACACACATACATTCACAGTGGTATCCACCTAGCTAGTCTACACAGCTTACCCACTTATCAGTGACAAGCCAGGATAGTGTGAGGGTGGTTAAACTAAAATATAATGCAGTTAGATTGTTGGTATGAACTATGAGTTTTATATATATTGAAGAAAAATATACAGAATTCACATTTGGATTGGACAAAAACAAACTAAATATAAATTTGGCACGATCGGTATCGGGCCATTACACACCCCGCAATCTATTGAAAGTGAACTTACTTTTGAATGACAAAACTGATAGATCATCATCCTATCACTTTTTCATGTGTAATAACTATTTGAATCACATTGTATATAACCTAGAATCTTAAGAAGTTACAACCCACCCTCCACTATAACAATGGTAAAACCAGAGATCTGAACGAGAAAATTAAAAAATCTACTCACAATGAATTTGTATTGTGATAATTGGAAAGGGGACTAAGCTATTATCAACTATGTATATAATTTTGTTACAGAACTTGTATATAATTTTACCCATTTTTGAAAATTGGGAAGGACTATAACCCCGTAACACCAACATGATTCCATCATTGCGCTACATGTAGCTTCACCACAACCGCTTACATTCAAAAATAGTTAGATATATACCAATAAAAAATAAAGAAACGTAACTTTGAAAGTATATACTCGTATTATAAGGTAGAGAATCTGTAATACAATTATGTTTTCCTTATCCATAACACGCTTCTTCATTTTGCACTTTCCCTTTTGTAGGTGTACATTACCTACCTCCTAGATTGGAGTTCAAATAAATCATCATGCCTAAACATCGAACAGAGTTTTGATTCGAAGTGGAAGAAAGAATGACTGTACAAGCTAAGGGTAAAAGAGAAAAAGATAATGATTGAGAAGAAACATATCAAACGGAGCGCTTAATCCTTCTTTGCACTTCTTTCTCCAACTCATCCGTGCCTCCAACCTCTGCTAGTTCCTGCACGTAACAAGATCCGGTCAGACCTAAAACCCAGATTCAGCTCTATTTCGGTTAAAGTAGGAGCCAGGGGGATCGGATGGGCTGACCTCAGGCCCCAAGAACAACCCATAAGGAACGCCGTCGAATTTGTCTGCGTGATGAAGCTGTTCATTCATTTTTGCAGAGACAAAAAAAAAAAGTTTAATTACTTAATTAGCAGACCTGAGCTCAGTCAGCTAAATTAGTGGACGTAAATAAATATATGAGTCAGCATGCATGGTAAAGATCAAATGAAATGAATGGGAATATTATTTTTAGTTACCTGGTGAGCAGCGGCAACTCTTCGGAGGTAAGGGACGTTGGCTATGGGCCCAACTGGGAAGCGTCGATGGGTCAGCCCATCGTGCACGAACATGTACGCCATCCCGAACACCGTTATCCCCAATCCCTGCCAAACTCCAAACAGCAAGAAAAAGAATGACGGACGGCCCGGCCCGGCCCAGCCCAGCCCAAGATCAAAGATTCTATAGCTAGTTAGTTGCTACCGAACACCACCCCATCCACCGACACACGTGGCAGCCAGCCCGAAGTTGTCAACTCCAATTTTTTTACCCTCTTACCCGGTACGTCTTACATTTTTTTTTTAAAAAAAAAAAAAACCTTAAAATAATCAAACAAACGTGAAACGACGTCTGTTTGACACTTACGGCGCCGAAACAGAGACCAGGGAGAAGGCCTTTGTTGAAGAAACCGTAGGAGAGCAGCCCGATGGCCGGCACCGCGTTCGTTATTGCAAACACGTCATTCGCCTCGAATGCTCCTTCTCTTCTAGCCCTGTGGTGCGACTGACCAAAAACGACACCGCCTCTCATTCATCTGTACATTTTTACATGGAAAACCAAACGTAATTAACTAACTAATTTTAATTAACCTCGTGGACGTCCCATAAAGAATCGTGCCACAATGCTCTGTGTGCCCACCGAGCCCAAAACTCCATCCCCACCTGCATTTCATTTGCTCGTTTAATTAGTACGATGCGATCATCGTTGAGAAATAATTGGTCCCAATTCAATTTCAAAATGATTCGATCGATGTTTGCACAAGTATCAAAATATCACATAAAGCTTCGATATTACGTCAACAACCACTTTGTCTCATTCCCTCGGATTATTTATTGAGTTGAGAGAGATAAAATTATGAAACTTATTATTAACATCATTAATCAATAATTGTTCACTTACGGCAGCTCCGATGGACAAAGCGAAGGTCCCAAGCATCTCCGCCACCGGAAACTCCCCACCCTGCATTCATATATATATTTGCATTACCAAACAGAGCTTTACCTTGTCAAATGAAACTTAAAGTAGTAGAGTAATATTGGTGTAAAGAATGTAACAAGTGTGTGTAAGTGTAACCTCCAACTGCCAAGAGAATCTGGAGAAAACAGCCATGGCGGCCGTGAAAGTGACGCCAACGCTGGACAGCAGCGCAGCCACCAGGTAAGCCAGCCTCTCCGCTTCCTTGCGCGCAAATCTCCCTTCTTTGGATAATGACGACGACGATGATGACCTCCTCCTAATAACAATCTTCGAATCTGCCTCGTTAATTGCCGCTGCCGCCGCCAAATTACGCGACCTGCTCATCTGTTTTCCCCTCTTCTTCCAGCTGCTGATGCTCTGTTTGATCCAGCAGCTTGGATTATTAATCCTGCCTGACCAGTGATTATGATGTTTCAGGGGAACTGAAAAAGGTCCCAACACTGAAGAAGAAGCCATTATTATTTGGTTTAGAGAGTGAAGAGAAGAGGTGGTTCTGTTTGCTACTATAATGTTTGTGTTATGGAGGGAGGGATAAATACTGGAAGTGGGGCGGCACCTAACCGCCATATGTGCAAAAAAAAATAAATAAATAAATAAATAAATTCTTCTTCTTTTGATATATGAAAAAACAGAAAGGACACCAATGCAAAGTACAATGGTGGGTGTGCGCTACTCTATTTGTTCATTATTATGTGTTGGATATTACTTCTTCTTAGTCTTAGTCTTAGGATAGGAGTCACAACCCCGCAAGGGAGTTGAGAACTATCATGAAGTGTGTCCTGCATAGTACGCTTATTGTTTTGTTGTTGAACAGAATTTATACTATTACATAATTCACATTTTTTTAACAAAATTCAAAGAAGAGTGCTCCAATGTTTTTACAACTTACAAGACAGATTTTATCTACATTCTTTTGTCTTTTTCATCTCTCTTCGTTCATTTTTCAAATTGTCCGAGTTTTATTTATTTATTTGTTGTGTTGAAACATTTGCATAATCAATTGTCTCTTTCTTCTCTATGGCGTCTTCGTAAATTATCTAATTAATACTTCTTGAGCTCCACATCAAACAAGTTCTTCTTACTCAATAGTAGGTAGATCATTGACTTTTCATTTATAGCCACATCCAGAAAAGGGTACCGGTAGAGAAGGTTTGACAGAACTTTTGAGTATGTCTGTCAACATCATCGTAATACTTTCATAATTTCGAAAGTGTATCTAGTATTTCAAACATTTTAGAAATCTAATTTAGGATGTAAATACTCGGTTAAGATCAAACTCGTAGAAGGATAAATCATTTGAACTTACACTAATGCGTCATATCCAGGGAACTAGAGGTGGCACCAAGGGCGGAGCCAGTATTTCGACACCGGGTGGGCCAAAAATAATTAAACATAAATAAAAATAAAATAATTATTTTTAAAGTATACAAAGTTCTTTGAAATAAGCAAAATGTGAGGCAATGGTGAATTGAACCTGAGTGCTTCACAATAACAAATAGATTAGCTTCCAGTAGACTACATGATAATCATATTAACTAATGTTCTGGCCGAGTTCTACTTATTCAAATTTTATCCAACTATCCTTAATATCCTAGGGGCCCGGATGATTCCCGGGGTGGGCCGGTGCCCACCCTACCTTGTAAGTAGCTCCGCCCTAGGTGGCACTTGGATTGGATCCATGGATTAGTGTATATGTGGATTAAGTAGATTGGATCAAATTGATTGATTGATTGAATCAAGTGGATTGGTAGATTGATCCATGAATCCAAATAACATCCAAGTCTTGGACTAATACGCAAAATTTTAAAAGTTCAGGTACTAAAATGTCATAACAAAATTTTTTAGGTACCAAACGTAATTTCCCAAAATGATATTTTCGTCTAAAAAATCAATTTAGGTACTCAAATGTAAAATATAAAAATAATAAATACTAAAATATAATTTGTCATTTGAATCCATGAAAATATCCACGAATCTACTTTGGATCAAATAGATTGGACTTAAATAAATTGGATCAATTGGATATTTTAGTGGATAAATTAGATTTGAATCCATGACAATTTCGACCTGACTCGTTTTACCCAACCTATTTGGCCTGTTCTAGGGCGGGGTGGGTATGGGTACTCTCATCAACCCAACATGCCCTGACCCGCCCCATTTCCGACCTATTCTTGTCTAACTTACGTGCAATCTTAGTCAAATTACTTAGAATTTTCCTTTTATTACATCATATTTGAGTTATAATAAAGTTGTAAAATTAGTAACCTGAATTTCTCCAATAATTTAACGACATTTATCATATTATTGTTTGTTTCTTGGTCATATAATAAAAATAACGAATATTTCTAATGTTTTCCATATACATAACAAACTTATTGGATCGACCTGCCCCGACCTACTTCCCATACATGATAAATTACCTAAGTTGAACCCAACCTGTCACGAAACAAGTATGGGTATCGAGATACCCACCCTGACTTGGCCATTGCCATTCCTACATCTAAGTGAACCCAATTAAAGAATCACAACAGGCTAAAACTTGGAGATTATATATTGGTGGCAACCATAGGAAATAGCAGGAACTTGTCATCCGCCAATAATATGACTAATTGCAGTATATAATTATCCTGCAGAAAGTGTGAGAATATGAATAGAGATTTGTATACCTGTTGAGGGGGTCTGCAAATTTGGTTTAAATTGGGCGAAATTGAATAGAACTTGCTTCGGTTTTGGTTTGATGAATCCACTTCAAACTTCAAAGAATAAAGGAAAAACGCAGACCAACTAGAATCGGAAGCACATTCAAGTTCATTTTCATCCACAATTTTTCCTTTGTGTACCTGATCAGGATAACGCACAACCCAATTACCTGTTCAAATCAAACAATCTAAAAAGTTGCAATTTCAATATCACGTGACAACTTTATTCAGATAGTACATGATGTTAAGGTATTAGATTCATAGATTATTTCGCTATAAGCAACCAGTCATTGCTGTTAGCTCACATACTTGAAATTAATCCTAACTTGTACACATGAAAAGGATCTGCAGAAACTTCTTTACAATATGATCCATGCTTCTCAACGTTTGTTTACTTGAGCAGGTTTGTTTCCAAACAGCTAATTCTGCTATAGCCCTATTGAATTTCTTGGACATTGTGGTAACTATCCTCCTAATGGTGATTTCCAGAGTTGCGGAGCTCAGGATGTGATGATCATAGCAGGCTGATACGTTTCCGGGAAGAAGGCTTCTTCTCATTTCTCAACATTCCGCTTCTTCAACAGCACATTCTTCTTCTTCTTCTTCTTCTTCTTCTTCTTCTTCTTCTTCTTCTTCTTCTTCTTCTTCTTCTTCTTCTAGTGTTGGGTATCTGGATTGAACTTCACTGCCTCCCTCCATATGAGCTCCTTAATATGCTCTTCGGTGCATGACGGGTGCTCAAAATCGAAGTGGAATGGTGCAGAGCAGATCGGTTCATCATTGATATCATGGAGGGGTGACAAGTATGGGTGGCAAAGTGCATCATCAACTGCAATTGCAGAAACATGCATATATATAAGTAAACTACCAGCAACTGGTTCATATAGTGCTGCCTCAGATTCAATTCCAAGTACCTCAGCAACATTCTTCTTCTTCTTCTTCTTCTTCTTCTTCTTCTTCTTCTTCTTCTTCTAGTGTTGGGTATCTGGATTGAACTTCACTGCCTCCCTCCATATGAGCTCCTTAATATGCTCTTCGGTGCATGACGGGTGCTCAAAATCGAAGTGGAATGGTGCAGAGCAGATCGGTTCATCATTGATATCATGGAGGGGTGACAAGTATGGGTGGCAAAGTGCATCATCAACTGCAATTGCAGAAACATGCATATATATAAGTAAACTACCAGCAACTGGTTCATATAGTGCTGCCTCAGATTCAATTCCAAGTACCTGTAATGCGTTTGTTGGGATCAAATACAAGCATCTTTTCTAGCAGATCGACAGCACCAGAAGACATATTGGGGAACCTCATGGAGAAGTTCTGTTTTCTGAACTGTGGAAGCTGTCTAACATATCTTCTGGCATTGTCACTTCTAAGGAAACCAAGGCTAGCATCATCTGGCGAACCTATTAGCTTTTATAAGGTAAAAAGTAAAAACCAAAAAGGAGATGTAAGAAGTCAAAAAACAAGAACTCAATGATGGATGAATCGTGTCCCAGACTTCATATTTCATAACAATGAAGATGCCAACATATCAAGGGAGGTCTTTCCATTCTTAAGACTTGGTACATGAAACAAATTCTTTCATAACATCTGAAATAATTGAGGATAAGTATGTTCTTTATATGAAGTAGTATAAATGATGCAAGCTCTAGTCATGAGACGCGTAAGCTGACGAGACGTCCCAAAATTGGGTTGTTGAGAGAGGCCGAAATATGAATTTTGTATCATTCATTCCCTTAATATAAACCATGTTAATCAGACGTCCAGCACCTATGCATAAGCTTTAAGGTAGAGTCAAACGTAGGGGTTGTTCCCAAAGGAAACCAAACAGATGAAGAGATTTAACTGAACAGAGTCCTGGCAAGCCATACCTCTGTAATAAGCCTCAGTTGATGAACATAATCCTTTCCAGGAAATAGGGGTTCCCGAGTCATAATTTCACCAAGGATGCAACCAACAGACCAAATATCTATTGCAGCAGTGTACTCTGAACAATTAAGGAGCAACTCTGGTGCTCGATACCAACGAGTGACAACATACTCGGTCATAAAATCTGTCTCGGAAGTTGTTCTTGCTAGCCCAAAATCTCCAATTTTAAGGTCACAATTTGCATTCAGAAGTAAATTGCTGGGTTTAAGATCTCGATGCAGGACATTTGCTGAGTGCACATATCTCAACCCTCGAAGCAGTTGATACAAGAAGTACTGTGAAAAAGGTTAAGTAAGAATCTATTAGTTTTCCTGCTTTAACTCAATATTCATGATGGAGCTTGTCATCGAACATTCTACCTAGAAAGACCATAGCTAGCAGTTCAGCATTTCAATTAATTGGATATTTTAAACTTACAGTAGTCAACAGCAAAAAAAAAAAAAAAAAAAAAAAACATCAAAGATATTTGAGTTCCCCATTCTAAAGTCTATAGAGGGACCAAGCTATAGGTAAGCAGCAATAAGCCCTCCAGCAAGCTTCTAGACTTGAAACAACATGTAATATGGTACAAAGTCACAAACATAGTTCTTGTCATCTAACCTGGCAGTGGTCATCAGTCAATGCTTGTTCAGAATGAATGATCTGATGGAGGTCAGTATCCATCAATTCATAAACTATGTAGACATCATTGAATGCCTCCTTCTTCGGTGGTCGAATAATGTCCCTGATGGCAATTACCTGCAATGGAAATGACAAGATAACTACTCCTGGCTCCGAGTCGAATGAAAAGAAACGAATAATTGCTTCTATGACAGTAAGCTACAGGTCATGGAACTGTATCATAAGCTTCCAAGCTGAAATAGATGGTGAAAAATGAAAAAGCTAAAAGTACATTTTCATGGTCCATATGGCGTAGAAGCTTAATCTCTCTCAACGTCCTTTTTGCATCGATTCTGTTGTCAAATGCATTCCCAATTTTCTTTATTGCCACTTCCTCTTGTGTCTCGGAGTTCACAGCAGCGCTGAACAAAGTTGCCATCGAAGTTTATTATACAAAGCTCTAAACCAACACAGGGGTTCCTTGCGTAATCAGAGACTAAAAACAGGAAGAAAGAAGACAACTGAAGCTAACACATGCTATCGTGAGAAAGGGATAGCAATAATCACATCCAAAGAGAATACAACAAAGCATATTCTTAAGCAAGGCCGTGTGACTATGATCCATGACTTGACTCTTGAAGACTTGAACCTATCCATATGTCTCCATCCAAAAATACAGTTTTGAAATGAAGTATTTGAGAAACGAAGATTAATTCTCTAGTCCACTTCTTATATTATACACATAAAATAGTCATCATCTTCAATCAGTAGTCATTATTCAATTCCTGGGAATTCATGACTTTATTCTTTCTAGCCATAAAATGCCAATCTAAATAACAAATTCCATTTACAATTAAGAGACCCCAAGTACTAAACAGAACCAGAATATACTCTAGATAACACCAGTTCTAGTTCATTCAGATTCCATTTCTGAATCTGTCAATAACTAGATCCACTTTCGCCTGCGAGACGAACTCCAAACAAACCAGCCATAACCCATCATGGATCAACGATCAAAACCATATGCTCAATCCCATAAAACGGCGAAGTTTGGCTCTTCATTAAAAATGAAGAGAAGTTTAGGCGCCCAGAAGTAGAAACCCACGATCAAAACCAAGAAACACCTAACCAATTCAAAGCAAGAAACCCCAGAAACGAGTAAGAAGAGAGACAGGAAAATTTACCAGACAATGCCATAAGCGCCACGGCCGATTGGTCGAATGGGAGGAACGTACTTGCTGGAAACTTCAAACAAGTTCCCATGGACATTATACTGCACGTAACGACCGCCGTGAGTCGGAACTCCCTTTATCTTGCCGCCGCTTCCGCCTCCGCCCTTGGCAGCCGTTGCGGAAGTGGAGCTCGAGTCTTTGCTTCCATTGGAAACCATACTTTCCGCCTTCAGCAAGCTTGCTCGACCCAGGGGTTTTGCTTCGTCGCAGACCTAAACAGAGCAGAGGATTTGCCGAGAGAGAGAGAGAGAGGGAGAAAGAGTCCGAAGTCGACACTCGTCCAACGGCCAACCTCCCCAATTAAAGACGCGGAAGCTTTTCCTTCCTTGCTTGCGTCTCTCTTTTTTAACTTTGAGCGAGTGGGTGAATACCCGTGAAATGAAGATGGAGATGAACCGACAAATTTGTTTTAGAGATTTTGAATTTTCAAATAAAAGTTTGTATTGAAAAGAATTGCTGCGTTTTAAACAACCGCGTAGACGTCTAATTGGCTGCTCTCGACAGTCAGCAGCACCATTGGCCGAGAATTGAGAATTCAAACCGGGTAAGCTGATCAGGGATTTGGGAATCTAGCTGTACCTGGGCCGGGCTTACTGGGCTCGAGATTGGGCCAAATTGGGTTGATAATTTACATGACTGGCCTGCGTGATCAAATGTAGATGACGAACAAGAAGACGATTGAGCCCTGTAATTTACAACAACCAAAAAAAGTGGAGGGGATTTCTTGTTGAACCTTCGTCTGATGAGAAAGCAAACAATCATCATGAACTTTGATTACCACAAGCATTCAACATGTATGATTAATTCAGGACTACAAACTATTCAAGCAAGAGCCTCTGAAAATTGAAACAAAAATCACTCAGTCCCTCAGACATCAGCAACTCTGAAACGAAAACGCTAGTATCTCAAGAAACACTTCAAGGAAGATTTGAGCTAGCACCGGCACCAGCTGCACCGCCATAGCTTCCAGCACCGCGGCCAAATCCTGTCCTCGGACCAGAAGAGCCACCCTGCAAGTTGATAGAGTTAGACTTAAGAGGGATTCAACGAACAAAAACCAATTCAAGGCAAAACAGGTTGCGAATGAATATCACGAAAGAAAAGGAAATCAGGTTATCTAAAGTGGAGTAGTGAAACTAATATTAACATATCACTCCGTTGTAATAGATTTAGAAAATACTCCTAAGAGAGTTCTATTCTCAAAACACAAAACAAAATCCATAGTTCATACTCAAAGCTCGAAACTAAGAACGATGAGATAGGACGCCTTGATCTTCAAACCGCACACTAAGACCAACATGATCATAATCCAACTAAACAGGGAATTCCATTCTCTTACTACAAATTGTTCCAACCACATTCCATGGAATGACAGCAGGATGATAATTATGAAGGAAAATCATAATTTTTATAGCAGAGCTAGAAATGCTCACCCCATATGTTGGTCTGTAATCAGCAGGAGCTCCACCCTTGTCACCAAAATCACCACCAGGCGCCCTTGGTCCAGCACGGTAACCATCCCTATCACCCCCGAACCTCCTCTCCCCATCAAAACGGCCAGGACCACTAATTCACAGAAAATCGAACAGAGCAATTACCACATTGCACAACAGGAAAATTCCCACCATTAAGACACTTCTACTTGTGCATATTCACAATCCAATACGCTGAAATTGAAAACGGAATAGGATCATTACCGTGGGCGGTCACCAGGTGGGCCTCCGAATGGCCTGCCCGCTGGCCTAGCCTGCTTCTTCAAGGTAGCAGGGACGATCTCCGAAGGCAGATTGAGGTATGTACGCAGGAACTCAATTCCTTCGTTGGTGAGGTACCAGTAATAGTGCATCCAGGCGAAGGTCTCGCGGACGTACTCCTTGGATTTGAAGCTCTGCATGAGCTTAATCACCTGCAGATTTGGAACATCGATTTCTGGGTGCTTCGCCAGATTGAAATCCTTCTTCGCAAAGCAGACTCCCTCTGCACAAAATCGAATAGCCATTCAGAAAAAACACAAATCCAGGGGCAAAAGACGGGAGCCGAGAGAGACGAGGGAGTAGTGCCGGACCTTGGAAGAGGTACTTGGAAATCTCGCGGCGGTTTTTCTCCGAGATGATCTGCCAAAACAGAAACCCCGATCAAAAAACATTAATCACTTCACCCTATATATATATTTTCTTTATGGGCAAATACAACAGGAAAAAGTACACTCGAAATGGAGTCGAAACGGGATGGATAGAAGCAAAGTTGAAGGAGAACGAACCATTGTTAAGCAGCAGATGAGAACAGATCGTCGGCGATTAGATGTGGCAACGGCGGAAGAGCTATAATCTCGAAGTCGCACAGTATCGCTTTATCGCCTTGGAGCAGAGAGAAGGAAAACCTAGCCGCTGTCTGTTTCTTTTTTATAATCTGTTTCGCAGTCCTTTCACTTTGGGCTTTTACTTGGGCCTTTTAGCAAACCTACGGTTTCACAAGCAAGATTGGCCAGCGGCCCCTTATAATTTGTTACGACACGAGAGAGAAGCCCATAGATAAAAGACGCTAGGCGTCTAAGAAAGAAAACCAAGGACGGCCCAGTGGACGAACAAAGGCGGCGTATATGATCTGATGACGTCCATACGTATGGGGTGTGCCGTGCCGTGCCGCTACCAGTCAATACAATATCTTTTTTTTTTTTTTGGGAAAACGGAGCGCTAAGGGCGTCCCGACCTTTAAGTATTAAGGTAACGCGGGGTTTGGACCCCAATACTGTCAAAGTACAACCAATGAGCTAGCATGCTCGAAGGCACGTCGAACACATGAAGGCCTACAGGAAGAGAGTGCCCTAGAGAAGCCAAATAGTCGGCGGTATGATTGGCTTCCCGAAAGATATGCTCCAACTTGACCTGCCAGTCCCGACTCAGCCATTGTCTAATCTCGACAATGTGTCTATAATGAGGATTATGTTGCGAGGCCGCCTCAATGAGATCAATTGATGTTGTAGAGTCACTTTGAACGAGGACCTTCCTTACTCCAAGATCCCAGGCTAACTTCAAACCTTGCTCGATTCCTACTAGCTCTGCCCTTGTGATAGTACCCCCTCCCAAGTTCACGGCAAAAGCTTTGATAAACCTGTCACTGTTGCTTCGAAGGATTCCCCCCGCTGCAGTACTCGAATGCGAGAGGACAACTAAACCATCCGTGGAGATACACGTCTATCCCTGTTGTGGCGCTTTCCAACTGATCATTCTCAGCTCTTGTTGGCCTGAGCCCCCAAACAAGCTTCTTTTGTTATTAAATGTTGCCTTAATTTGTTGTTGGAGTTGAGCGGCCCGGAATTGTAGCTGGTCGGTGGTACTCAGCTCCCCTCGGAAGATCCATTCGTTCCTGTTCCTCCATAATAACCAGCAGGTCCCAGCTAAAAGAGATTCGTCAACAACTGCTCCTCGACCAGAACAATAATAATGAATCCAAGCTTGTAAAGGCTACCCAAAAAACCGATCATCCGACTCTTCCCTTAGAATCCCCGCCCAAGTAGCTCGAGCAAACGGACAATCTCGGAGGATATGGACGACAGTTTCCGGCCCGCCACCACAGATCCTGCAGTAAGCATTTTGCGTCAGGTGTCTTCTTTCTCTCTCGGCATTAGTGAGTAGACGTTCGTGGGTTGCCTGCCACATGAATGTCCTCACTTTTTGCATGGCCTTGACCCTCCAAATCGAACGCCATATGAAGTGGGAAGGATTGTCACTATAACCTGCATCGGTAAGCTCATAAGTTGTTTTAGTAGAGAATTTCCCATTTGCATTCAGTCTCTAGCACCTAACATCATCCTCCTGGGCACATGGAACCGGGTGGAGGCGAATTTGTGAAATAATGTCCTCTGGGAGGAAGTGGGACAAGTATTGGAAATTCCATTCTCCATTTAACACAAAATCTGCCACCTGAAGCTCCGAGGCTTCGTTCAGCAGGTTTGGAGCAAAAAACCGCAACGGTTCTCCATCAATTAGCCACCTATCTTCTCAAAACTTTGCTTTTTTTGCCATTCCTTACGTTCCAAAATGAGGCCTCGTCGACAAGGTGCCAAACCCACAACACACCTCTCCAAAGGTTGGATAACCGTCCCTGACTTCGAGGTGTAAGCTGACCCTCATGATGTCGGAGGTACTTTGCAGCCAGGACACATGCCCAGAGCTCTTCCGGGTTCGAAATCATTCTCCAAGCTATCTTGAGCATGAACGCCTTGTTCATCCGAGTGGCGTCTCTCAACCCCAACCCGCCTTCTTCCTTTGGCCTGCATAAGGTTTCCCAGTCCACAAGATGAACCTTCCTCCCATTTTTTGTACTTCCCCAGATGAAGCCACGAATCTTTCGGTCGATATAATCTCGCAATATAGCTGGTAAAATTGTAGTCTGCATAGTGTAGGCAGGTAAGGAGGAGAGCACTGCTTGAGCAAGAGTAATCCGACCTGCTAGGGATAGAGAGTTGGCCTTCCATCCTGCAAGACGAGAGTCAATGTGGTCAATCAAGTCAGCAAATGTGGACTTCGATACCCTGTCATGGATAACTGGAACTACAAGATAGTGCCCCAGATTAGTTGTTTGAGGAATTCCCAAGGCTGCACTCAAACTGTTACGCTGATCTATAGTAACATTTGCCGAGAAAAAGACTCTCGACTTCTGCTTATTAATCTGTTGTCCCGACAAGGCACTAAACTGGGAGAAGCAGTGGTTAATAGTTGCAATCTGCTCCATCGTGGCTTCTCCGAAAAGAATGAGATCATCTGCAAAAAAGAGGTGAGATAAGACGGGACCTCTCCCTGTAAGCTTGATCAGGTGCCAATTCCCTTCCCCTATTGAATCCGTGATAAGATGACCGAGGCGCTCCATACACAGAGTGAATAGGTAAGGAGATAGGGGGCACCATTGACGAAGACCTCGAGACGGAAAAAAACGGCTCGGACAACCCCCCATTCCATTGAATCTGCATTGTCGCAGTGGAAATGCAGGCCATGGTGACATCAATGAAAGCAGTTGGAGCTCCGATAGCCTGGAGAGTGTCCCTAACAAAGTCCCATCGTATTCGATCGTAGGCTTTGGCAAAATCCACCTTCACAGTCATCCAACCCTTCCTGCCTTTCTTGGCTCTCATAGAGTGAACCACTTCCTGCAAAATACAGATGTTATCAGTGATATGCCGCCCTGGGACGAAGCTAGTCTGCGTCTCATGGACTAAAGTCGGCATTAGGAGTTTAAGTTTCTCTGCTAGGCACTTAGTAAGAGCCTTATAGGCCACATTACAGAGGCTGATAGGACGGAACTGTTCGATGAGGGTTGGTGAAGGGACCTTGGGAATTAGAACCAGAATGGTAAAATTTATACTCTTGATCTTTCCTGGTTCCCCCCAGCAAGCCTGTATTAGTTGAGTGACAGAGTCTCCTACAAATTCCCAGCAATGCTGGAAAAATAGCGGGTTCAACCCATCAGTTCCTGGAGCCTTCAAAGCTCCCATGCTTCTAATAGCTGCTTTGATCTCTTCCTGCGTGGGCATTGTGCCAACATGCTGCCACCGATGGTGCTCAATGTTAGGAAACCCATGGCCCATGGGTTGACTCTCCCCACCCTCATCCATATAGAGAGCCAAGAAGAAATTGCGCGCAAGGTCTTGAAGCAAAATCTGATCTTCTATCCACATTCCGTCAACCCCTTTAAGGGCTAATATTCTATTCCTTTTACGACGCATGAGGGTCCTAGTGTGAAAGAGTTTAGTGTTGCAATCTCCCAAAAAGATCCAGTCTAGGCGAGATTTCTGGCACCAAGTAATCTCCTCCTGAAAAAACAAATTCTCAAGCTCCTCGCGAGCTTGTTCAAGCCTAGGTGATCGGCTGCCATCACCATCCTGTAGCTCCCATCTCTCAATTTTACGCAGCAAAGTACCCTTCCTTCTTTGGATGTTGCCAAAAATTGTTCTATTCCAATCCTTGGCCTCCCTAGCAAACGAATTAGCCGACTCACTAAACGTCGAGCCTCGTTCCCAAGCAGAAGTGGCCATGCGATTGAAGTCCTCATGGGTTAACCACGCAGCCATAAACCGAAATGGTTTTGGGCTAGCGGGTAAAATATTAGTCGACGTACGAATAAGAACCGGCCGGTGATCGGATTTAATCCGGGGGAGATGCACCACCATCGTATCCGGGAATGAAGTAAGCCAACGGTCATTAGCTAGCCCCCTATCCAGCCTCTCTCCCAATCCACTACGAAACCAGGTATATGGCGACCCCACGTATCCCAAATCGATCAATCTCGAGTTGTTAACACAATCCTGAAAATCTCGAATCCTGGAAGCATCAAACGTGGCTCCTCCAGCCTTCTCTGATGGGTGAAGGATGGAATTGAAGTCCCCAACCAATACCCAAGGAGCCTGCTGGTCTTCAGTTATCTTCTCAATTTCTGCCCATAACTGACGTCGTTGCATGGGTGCCGGACTCCCATAAACCGCCGTCAGGAACCAGGAGTTGTCCTGAGAATGGATCTCCCTCACCTTCACGTGAATAAATTGGGTATGTGCTTGCTCTAATGCCACATCCAGTTCCGAAGAGTTCCATAAGAGCCATATCCCCCCGGAATAACCAACTGCGTCAACCACGAGCTCGTGGTCGAAGCCCATAGAACGAATAACGCTTAAGGATGTATCACCACTATTTTTTGGTTCAAAAATGATTACGATATGAGGAGAGAAACGTCTTCGATATTCACTAAACGCGCACATGAATCTGCGCCCACCAGCACCCCTACAATTCCATGCAAAGATTTTGTAATCCATAAAAAATGTTGAGGGATGAGGTCCGACGATCCCCAATTAAATGGGCCTCGGCAGGGGAACCCCGCTATTACACACATGGTCTACATCACCAGGCATGTCTCTTTGGGAATCATTTTCCTTCTCCCCCATGCACGATGGGTCATTCGGCGGCCTGCCCATAGATGCTCCTTTGAGAGTAAGATCATGGTTCCTGATAACGATGTAATTGCATGATTTTATATCCCTATTTCTTATCCATTTGCGGAGCATAGTTGTGTGTTTTGGCCTATTTTACGCCGGTTTGTGCTATTTTGTCCTATTTTAGGTCCCAGGCGTCGAAGGGAAGGCCAAGCGCGAGTTTCGGATCGTTTGGAAGTCGTTTGGTCGAGCTAGGGCCAAAACACGGGCAGGAGGCCTTCAGAACACGGCCGTGTTCCTGGCCGTGCTTTTACTGCCGAGGCTCTCCATGTGTGGCTTGAACCAGCTAAAAAACACGGGCGGGGTCAACCAGAACACGGCCGTGTCTCACCCAGAACATGCCCGTGTTTTCCCCAGCCCGTGCCCGTGTAATTACCACGTGGCAGAGGGCA